ATGGGAATACTCCAACTATGAAATTCCTCAACGATTGACATGAGGCTTGCAAGCGCCTCTTGAGTGCTCGCCAACACCTCTCGTTGACGTTCGGAAGGCACAACCGTTGTTGGAATTGAAGCTTCGGATCTCAAGGTACAAGGTTGGCCAACCGATAGGTGCTCAAATGATGGAGAGGATGGAACAAAGGTCTCGGTTTCTTCCTTTTCGGACATGGGGGCCATTGAAGCACGAAGGGATCGATTTCACTCCTCTAAATGCTCCATGATGTCGTCCAAATTGACTCGAGAAGCTCCTCGAGGTGGCTCCGGTGGAGGTGTTCCTTCATAATCCGGAGGCGGTGGATAGTAATAGTCCGGAGGTGGAGGATTGATATAAGGCGGCTCGTCGTGACCCGGAATGTCATAAACATAATCGGCTCGAGATGTCGGGTAAAAATGGCTCGGGCCATACCCATGGGAAGTAGAGCATCCGTCATAAGAGTAAGAAGGTGAATAACTCGGATATAAACAAGATGGCTCCCCATATGTTGTGTACATCTCCTCTTGGTAATTGTCGGGGTGTCCACGAGACGAGCTTCCGGCATAGGAATAATCATATGGGTCCATCGGAGCTCCTCGAGCGGATTACCTCGCACAAGAACAACAAACAAACCAAGGCACACGAGACCAAGACAAAATAACACAAAACACGAATAACACGACACAATATATACAAGAACACAAACACCAAATAACAAGAGAAAACGAAAACAAGCAAGAGAAACACGCAAAATTAAGAAAAATCACAAAAAGCAAGAGAAATACGGAAAATAAGTCAATCAATTGTCTAAATCCAATGGCCTACTCGCCTTCCCCGGCAACGGCGCCATTTTGTTTGTAGTATTTTTGGGCATGTGGTAACCGAGCTACCCGACTCGGGTCGTTCTCAAAGGAAGGCTATTCGGACAAGGATTCAAACAACGATCGACTCATACAAGAAAATAAAATAAAATTCCTAAACACTCTACTCGCATGATTTGGAGTTCGGATTAAGCTAAGAACGCAATTTAAGCAATAATTAAAGCAAGATTCAAACTTTATCGCAAGCAACACCTCAAATTGCAAGAAAAAGGAAAATAAAAAGAGAAATAACAAGGTACTCCTAGACCCGAGATGGAAAGAAGGCCCTCATAGGTTCGGGAACATGCAACCAAGCAATAGTCACTCGTGATCAATTAATCTATCAATCAATTCTCGCTCACGCAATCAATAACAATATCACATAATCCCTAGCCTACGAGGATGATAGCATAATCGACTCATGGATGTGCATATCTTAACCCTAGAATAACTCAATAAGTAAAGACAAGCAAGACTAACGAAATCATGAACCTTAAGCGAAGTCTCCACGTCTCTAATGCATCCACGAGAAGAAATAAGCCAAAAAGTTGTAATCTTGATGGAGAAATATTACACTTAAAAATAGGGTCTTGGAGCCCTTAGAGTGAGAAAGAAAACTAGAGAGAGAAGAGAGCAAAAAACTAAAAAGGAAAATTTAGCAAAATGAGGAATTCCCCCAAATTACAAAGCAAGATGTCTATTTATAGCTACACCACAAACACACACTAAAACACACACATTAAATGAAGATACTCGCAGGTTGAGGCGAACTCGCGAGCTAGAAGGTGATTTTCGCGGGCGCACAATGAGAAACTCGCGGCTGAGATGTGTCTAGCATGAAACTCGCGGCTTTGAGAAGTGTTTCGCTAGCAAGGCGTGAGTTTTCGCAGCTTAGGGGCGCTAGAAGGTGAACTCGCGGGTTAGAGGCAACTCGCGGGTTAGGGCTTCATTTTCGCGGGCTCGAAATTTCACCTCTGGACATGCTCTAGCCGAACTCGCGGGTTACAGGCTTTTCGCGGGCGCGAAATCGTTTTTCGCGGGCTGGAAATGGTCCCATGATCCCTTGATGCTCGATTTGCTCTAACTTCTCGCACACAACTCCAATTCGCACGAAACATGGACCCATATTCTCCTAATTGAATTTTCTTCTTCTCGGTATAGCTTGGGCGGGATTTTCCGGTTGGACGGTTCGGACGGCTCGTCTCCTCGTTCTCGCCAAGTTTGACCTATTCAACACTAAAACAAGAGACAAACGCGCAAAAATACAAAAACACTATACAATAATAAAAATATACAAAATACGATAAAATGGACCGGTCGACACTAAAAAGAGCCTAAAAACTATAAAACAAAGCACACAAAACACACGAAAATAAGCACAAAAACACAATAAACAGTTATAATCATACAATTAATTTTATATGCACGTGGGTGGAGAAATCATGTCATTATATATATTTAATTTACTTTCTTTGTTCTAATGTCTTAAATAATGAATAAAAAACATGTGAATTAATTCTTCATAATCTAATTTACTTTATGTCTAAAGTTGAAATATAATTCCTTTTTGTTTTTAAATTTTTTTGCAAAAACACATAATACTCTTAAAAATTCAAAATATGTTATCAAACATCTCTGAATGTTGTACTCCAAATCTGCTATCAAGCACATAATCATGGTGTCCTATGCTATGACGATTAACAAGAGTCAAGACCAGTCTCTCTCACACGTCGGTTTAGTCTTGAAGAACCCTATTTTCGATCATGAGCAGTTGTACATGGCTCTTTCTAGAGTCACAAGTCGGAAGGGTTTCAAGATAAAGATATGTGGTGATGGTGATTCCGACGATAGAAAAACCTTGAATGTTGTATACAAAGAAGTGTTTAATAATATTTAGAATTATTTTCTTAATTCATATTTTTTAATTAAATCATAATTTTGTACTTTTTTTATTCATAACTCTTCTATCTATTCTCCTCCGTGCAAATGCACAGGTTGATTACTAGTTATTTTATAATTACTAGCTGATGAATTTAATAAAATATTTAATAAAACCTATTTTCATTTCCCTCCAAAAGGAGTTACATTTTTTTTAATTAATTACTCACTAATCTGCTAAAACCGTTACACCTAATATATATATATATATATATTATTTATTTTTTTGGATCAGTTACTAAATTAATTTTAAATTTGGTAGAAAAATATTAAAATGTGTAACGGCTAATGTTTGGAACTTAAAGTTGACTGACACATTCAGAGGTGTAACCGTTATATTTGGTTTCATTGTTGGAAGAAAAATATAATTGACACATATTTTTTTTGTAAAAATCAGAAACACTAATAATTTTTTTTTTATTTCTGTTAATTTTCTTAATATATGCTACAAATATATAAATTATTTTAAACGTTGCATGGTGATAAAATTTAAATCTCAATCATTTTTGAATGATAAAAATAACTTAAGAAAAAATAATAATTTTTAAATGATAGAAGTACATGTCTAATTAATAAATACAAACAAAAAACGTGTTTTATATCTGTGCAAATGCACAGAACCAAATACTAGTTATCTTAATTAGGTCAGAATTTTAATTTTGGTCCTGTCTATAATTTTTTTGGTACACTAACTTTTCTCTCGTCAATAATAGTAGATTATGTTGCAAATTTGTATCATTATAGAGACATTATTGCAAAAAATGGTTCATTTTTTTTTTTTAGAATTAATGTCCTAAAAATTATACAAATTGCAATATGAAGTACTGTTTTTTATGAGTAACGTCTCAAAAATGATACGAACCGCAAAGATTTTAGACAAGTAAACGGACCAAATTTTTAAATTTCCCCCTAAATATCATATTCAATTGCTTTTGTTATTCACTTTTTTTTTTTATTAAATCAATTTATCACTACGAAATTGGGGGGCTTCGAAAGTTCATTATTAACCTTCCTTTTCTTTTTCCCTATTGGAATATCACTTGTGAGTGTCCCACATTGATTCTATAGGGAAAATGAGTCCAGTATATAAGCCTAGTGGGCTACTCCTCCTATCACCAATTGGTTTTGGGATGGAACCTCACTAAGGTGCATCTAGGCTCACCCTCTTATGGTGCGCCTTCATCTAGTGGGACCGCACTCTCTTCCCCCGTTTCTAATATGGTATCAGAGCGGGCTTGTCATAGGACCTGCAATGACTATCTCTCTACCCGGCCTGCTCTGGGCTTGGGCTGTCATAGGACCTGCAATGACTATCTCTCTACCCGGCCTGCTCTGGGCTTGGGCTTATCTCTCTACCCAGCCTGTTATGTGGGCTTGGGCTTACGAAGGACTCACAAGTGAGGGGGCGTGTTGGAATATCACTTGTGAGTGTCCCACATTGATTCTATAGGGAAAATGAATCTATTATATAAGCCTAGTGGGCTACTCCTCCTATCACCAATTGGTTTTGGGATGGAACCTCACTAAGGTGCATCTAGGCTCACCCTCTTATGGTGCGCCTTCATCTGGTGGGACCGCACTCTCTTCCCCCGTTTCTAATATGGTATCAGAGCGGGCTTGTCATAGGACCTGCAATGACTATCTCTCTACCCGGCCTGCTCTGGGCTTGGGCTGTCATAGGACCTGCAATGACTATCTCTCTACCCGGCCTGCTCTGGGCTTGGGCTTATCTCTCTACCCAGCCTGCTATGTGGGCTTGGGCTTACGAAGGACTCACAAGTGAGGGGGCGTGTTGGAATATCACTTGTGAGTGTTCCACATTGATTCTATAGGGAAAATGAATCTAGTATATAAGCCTAGTGGGCTACTCCTCCTATCACCAATTGGTTTTGGGATGGAACCTCACTAAGGTGCATCTAGGCTCACCCTCTTATGGTGCGCCTTCATCTGGTAGGACCGCACTCTCTTCCCCCGTTTCTAATATCATTTAATCAAAATCATAATAAGTGCTGGAATTTAATATATAATTGCATTTTCCAAAAGTTTTATTTTATTTTATTTTTTTTCAAATCAAAAGTTTTATATTAGTATTAACTATAATCTAAAAAAAAAAACACATACATCTAATATTAATTATTAACCTCACTGTGTGTTTATATGTTTAACAGATTTGACATTGCAATGGGGATTAATACAATCGGACCTGCTAACGTTCTGACTTTTTCAAAGAAGTGTAAAAAATTAAGGGTGTTGCTTCACGTATCAACCGGTAATTTTTTGGTTTCCAAATTAAAATGTCTGAAATTGTATCTGATTAAGTCAACCAATATTCTTATATTTGTTAGCATGAGTCTATTGGTGTTAAATTAAACGAGTCTGGCTCGGCTCGAGTTCGAAGTCTTAACGAGCTGAGCTCAAGCTCATGTAAAGCTCGATTGGTTGACTCGTTAAGACTCGACGATAGAATTTTTATATAATTTTTTATAGTTCGATTCGTTAACGCTCGAGATCGGGACATTGCAGCATACGTGTGTGGAGAGGAGGAGGCGGGACTCGTTCTAGAGACGCCGTTTAAATTTGGTGAGACACTTAACGGGACATATAATTTGGACATTTACAAGGAAAAAGAATGTGTTGAGGCAAAATTAGAAGAGCTTCGAGCACAAAATGCTTCACAAAAATGCATTGCGTCAGCTATGAAGGATTTAGGTATTCAAAGGTTTGTCTGTAATTAATCGAATTTAATTTTTTGGTATTATTTTTTCAAGTCAGATTTAATTAAAATAATAAATAAAATAAATTGTACCTTATTGAACGGCCTTGACATTGGATTCAATTCAATTTGGACAGAGCCAGAAAGTACGGATGGCCCAATACATACTCTTTCACGAAAGCCATGGGGGAGATGTTATTGGGCCGTTTGAAAGAGGAAACGCCCATTGTAATTGTTCGGCCCACTATTATTACGAGTACATACAAAGAACCCTTCCCTGGTTGGCTTGAAGGAATCAGGTAATAATAGAAAAATAAAATGTGAATTAAATTATTTAATTACTGAAGATTTATTGAATATTGTAATATTTATTTACAATAATTCCTTATAATTATTGAATTATGCATTCCGGGTATTTTATTAATTTATATTCAATTTTTTTCATAAATAATGCAGAAATATTGACAGCTTTGTGGTGGGATATGGGAAAGGCAAAATGACATGCTTTCCTGGTGATCCTCAGAGTATAGTAGACTTAGTGAGTTGCAATATTTTTAATTTTTTTTTTCAAAATATTGTAATTGAAATTCTTTTACTATATTTTTTGATTTTTTTTTTTTTTTTTGAGGCAACGAGTTCTTGTAATGGACCATTAGATTGTTTAACATGAAAAGTAAAACAACCATGGATGTGTATTTTGCAGATCCCAGTTGACATGGTAGTGAACGCAATGTTAGCATCAATGGCGGCCCACTCAAACGAGCCAGGCGAGATAATTTATCATGTGGGGTCCTCAATGTCGAACCCGATTCACTACAGTTGTCTTCAAGATTACGGCTTTCGCTTTTTCACCGAGCGGCCATGGCTTAATAAGGAAGGCAAGCCCGTCGTTGTAAGGAAGGGGAAAGAGTTGAGCACCATTCATGCTGTCCAAAGATACATGCAAATACACTACTTGATTCCTCTGAAGGTTTGTGCTCAAATTTTGAATATTTTTTCTTTTGTATCAGTTGTCCCACATCGAATCTATAAGAAAAATGGGTGTAGTGGGCTACTCCTCTCATCACCAGTTGGTTCAATTGGTTCACTCTCTTATGATGCGTTTCACTTACATGGGACAACACCCTCTTCCCCCGATTCTCGCATTCAATAATATCATTGTTTCAATAGTAATGTCAAATAGGCAGTGTCAAATGTGGCTGCAAAAGATTTGCACAATTACAATTCTAGTCATCTAATTAATTAGTACAACAACAGTTCATCTAATTAATTAGTACAACTACAGTTCATCGTCTTCATCATGCACATAAATTAACAAATTGACGCTAACTATCATTAATATAATTGATCACCTTGCCTAGATTCTAAGCCTTTTGAACACCGCAAGCTGTCAATATTTTCGAGCGACCTATCTTGATCTATCCCGAAAAGTCGAGTTCTTGAAGCGGATTGTAGAGCTGTTTAGTCCATATGTCTTCTTTAAGGGAGTGTAAGTTATGAAATTCAAACTTGTCTATATATAATAATCTTTAATACCTGTATCTATAGTCATGTTATATAATTATTATATATATTTTTTTGTTCAGCTTAATTATCTGAAAGAAAAATGGTTCTCCCTTTTCCTGCAGCTTTGACGACATGAACACTGAAAAACTGAGGACGAACGCCAAGGAAAGCATTGGCTCTGCTGAGAATGAGATTTTCTACTTTGATCCAAAGTGCATAAATTGGAAGGATTATTTCATGTATACTCATATTGCTGCTGTGGTGAAACATGTTTTTAGATGATACTAGTATTCGATCATGTGTATATGCACAGATACAAAATAATATTATATTTTTAAATTATAACTTATATAATATAAGTATATCACTTTTTATAATTATGGTCATTATTAGAAATAAGCATTATAACTATAAAAGAAAAAGGGCACCATAAAAAATGGACCTATCAAAATAAATCGTGTAACTAATTTATTGTTATTATATTATCACTATAATTAGAATTATAATTGTATTTCAGAGCATAAAAAGATGTTACAGACATGAGAACCATCTAAAATTGGACCTGTCAAAATAAATCGTATAACTGAAAGTTACATATTTTGATTAAATGGTGAAGATATTTTTATTAAATGAACACCTATTTTATTAAAATAACTAATATTATTATTAAATGTTGGCTGATTAAAATTTATTGAAACTTGTCAGCAATTATATGTATAGATTTAAAAACTATGAAAGTATTGGAATTTGTTAACATTATAATAAAGAATCCAGTTTTCCTCCTGACTCCTGTGGTAGACTACTGGTAGTTGGAGAATTTTCCGTAAATATAGGAGGAAATATTTGTACACCTTCTACAAATTATGAGAAATACTAAGGTCCCGTTACGGAACTATTCCGTCGAGTTTGTAACCGTTAGATCAGATATAACCGTCAGAGATAGTATCTCGACGGAATGGTTCTATAGCGAAACCGTAGTATCTTCCATAAATTATACTTGGATCTTTTATTTAGAATTCAGAAGGTCGGGAGACTGGAGTCTTGTCAGTTGTCTCATGTTCAACCCACAACAAAATGATCATTGTCTTTTTCTTTATTATTTTTTTCTTCTCATGGGCAAAGCTAGGTATAGGCGCATTGGCGAATATCCAGCGGGCGAGCTGCAAGCCTGTAAACCCTTTTGTTGGGCCCAACAAGGACGAATGGCGACAAAAAATCAAACATAAAAGAAGTAAACACATTCTAAATCACATAGAAACTATTGTGGCAGTGATTATTGGTCATGTAAACATCATTTGAGACCAAAAGTCGATGTTTTTTTATATTCGGCGGAGTTGATACTAAAGACCCGATATCTGGTACTAAAACACCATAAAACTAGTATTATCTTAATTTAGGCCTGGTACCAGTTTTCGCAAATGTTGACCAAAATTGAAGTAATTCATTTTTTTTTTTTTTTCCAAAAGTTGGTATAAATGATTTAAAACATATATTATCTAGAAAAAGAAGCGGTCATATTTCTGTCAAAACTGGTATCGTTTTAGTAATCATGATTTTTTTAATCCTCCATGTCTACTATGCTACGTGGATCGTTCACGCGTGATTTGGTTCAGAAATAGTGGAAGTTCAAACATATAGGTAGAATTTGGAGTAGTCATGTATGATCATTCAATGAGATGAAATGTTTCTTTTAATTAGATGAAGTGTATTAGTAGTGTTTTTCATTAGTGTGTTGAGTTCGTGATCAATTTGCGATTAAACTTAATTAAACACATTTTAAATCTCATAGAAACTAATGTGAGTGATTATTTGTCATCTAAACATCATTTGAGACTGAAATTTGATTTTTTTTTTTTTATGTTCGTCGGAGTTGGTACTGAAGACCCGATATTTGGTGCTAAAACACCATATTTGCGGTACTATCTAACTCTAGGTCTGGTACTAATTTTAAAAATGTTGGACAAAACTGAAGTAATCCATTTTTTGTACTTTCTATATGGTAGGTACTAATTTATCAAGAACTGATACGCATAGAAGAAGAAGTGGTACTATTATATGTAAAACTTGTAGCAATTTACTAATCCTGATTTCATTAATCCGTCATGTCTACCATGCCACGTGGATCGTTCACGCGTGATTTGGTTGAAAAATAGTGGAACTTAGAACATATAGGTAGGATTTAGAGTAGTCATGTATGATGATTCCATGAGATGAAGTGCATTAATAATTTTTTTTTTTCATGTGTGTATTGAGTTTTTAACCAATTTGCGCTTAAACTTAATTAAACACATTCAAAATCTTATAAAAACTAATGTGAGAGTGATTATAGGTCATGTAAACATCATTTGAGACCGAAGACCTGATATCTGGTACTAGACATGGCCACGGGTCACTCGGCCCGGAACCGGCACGGACCCAGCCCGGTCAAACTCGTTGACCACGGGTCTGGGCCCGACATATATTTCAAACGGGACGGTCAAGGGTCATATTTTTTTCGACCTTGACCCGGTGGGCCGGGCCGGGCCGGGTCCTGTCGGCACGGAGAAATACATTGCTTTTGAATTTTTTTCTTTTTTTTTTCTTTTTTTATTTTTTTATGGGGCCGGGTCCAAACCCGGGTCGAGCCCAGCCTGGCCCACCGGGTCATGGACCCGACACGACCCTAGATCCGTGCCGGTTCAGGGTCATCGAAACCCAACTGTTTGTTATATTTTTATGTGTTTTATTGTGTTTTTATTTGCTTGAATCGAGTGTTTTTAGGTTCCGTTTGTGCGTCCCGATCCATTTTGTGTTCGTTTTTAGTAGCTTTTCGTTTTTGAGTCATTTTCGTATATTTCTCTATTTCTTGTGCGCGATTTGGTGTTTTGTAGGAACGGAAGGAAGAATTGTCGTTTCATAATATGCCGTCCTGAGTGCTTAGCCGTGAAGTTCGTTGTTGAAATTGGAGTGTCGATGTATAGAGTCAATTTTTCAAGTTGATCGGGGAACAGTGCGATGAAATGAAGCTTTAGAAGTCAAACCGAAAGCTTAGCGAGACCATTACTTGCAACCCTTAGAGTTGGCGCTCGCGAGTTCGAGTTCGCGAGCCCTTCAAACTCGCGAGCAAGCATGCACCTTCAGCAGCTGAAACTCGCGCCCGCGAGCTCAGTTTCGCGAGCGACGCAAACTCGCGAGCAAGCCACCTTCTGCAGCCTTCCGGATCCGCGGGCGTGAGGTTCCGTTCGCGGCTTACCTTCAACTCGCGAGGAAGCGCGCCCCAACAGCAGCCAACGTCCGTGAGCGCGAAGAAAATTCCGCGAGCCACAGCAACTCGCGAGCAAGCAGCCCCCAGCAGTCTCTAAGACTCGCAGGCGCGAATCTCCTCCCCTAGCCCGCGAGCGCAGCCTAACTCGCGAGTTCCCATGATGACATGCATCTTTAATTTTTCCTCTCGCGCCCGCGAGTTTCGTGTTTTAACTCGCGAGTTCGCCTTAACTCGCGAGTGTTCCTTTTAATAGTGCGTTTTTAGTGTGTGTTTACCTTCTAGTATAAATAGATTTTGTTCCTTTGTATTATGGACATCTAGCTCATTATGAAATATTTCCCTTTTTGGTTCTTAGCTTAAGTCTTTTATTTTTCTCTCTAGAGTAAGGTGGATGTTATTTACATTTCCCGGCGACTTTTTCCAGTGACTTCTCGTTTATGCAAGTTTTAATCTTTTTCTTCCGTTATCGATCGAGCATGCGTTAGGGATGTGAGTATTTACTTTTAAACCTTATAATCTCGATTTTCGTACTTACTTGCTATCTCGTGCATAGAAGTAATTAGGGTTTGTTCGGTTATCGGATTTTTAGTAGTTACTTTAGCTATTTTTATTTCCCTTGCTTTTGTGAGCTCGTTTATGATGCTTGGAGTTGATTGATTGATTTATTGCTATTTGAAAAATCGTGACTTTACATTTAGCTCGGTTATTTCGTAGTAGGATTTCGGTTTTGGCTCTTAAGTATGCTAAATGGAGTTCGTTTCTCTTACTTTCGCTTTTGTTGCTCTTGATTTTGCTCACCGGGTTAGTTGCTAGGATCTCGTGGTTCGTTCACTAGCTCGTTGCTCGTTTACTTGCTTTCAATGGTCGTAATTAGCGTTAATCAACCTCAATCCAAATTGATTAGTATGTTTAGGACTTTATTTTCCATTTTTGTGATTTGAGCGATTGAATGGTGAGTAAAGCTCCGAATAGCCTTCCCTCGAGATCGACCCGAGTCGGGTAGCTCGGTTACCACATGCCCATCAAATTTATACTAAACAAATCGCGCTGTTGCCGGGGAAGGCAAGTAAGACGCCTAATTTGCTATTTGATTGTTCCTTTTTCTCGTGTTTCTCTTGTTTCGTGTGATTTTGCTTAATTTCCGTATTTCCCTTTATTTCTCTTGATTTTCTAGGTAATTTTGTTTTAGTTTGTGTTTTCAATTTCGATTTTCCCTTGCTTCCCATTGGTGCGTTCACGGGTATATTTTGTGGTTTTGTTTATGCGAGGTAAACGAGGGCGTAAACCCCGAGAGGAGCCACCGCCATTCGACCTCTTTGTTGAACTCAACATCGAAGAACCGCAACCCGAGCCCGAAATCGAATCAATGGCGGGACAAGAAGACCAATTGCCACCACCACCTCCCCCGAACATGAGATATTTTGCACGGCCTATCATTGGAGACAACACTTCATGTCTCGTGCTCGGGGAGGCGGCCCGTAACTACGACCTTAAGATCATCCATCTAAACCAACTCCCGTCATTCTATGGCCTACCCCAAGAAGATGCCCTCAATTTCATACGAGATTTCTATGCAACCGTCAACACATTCCTGCTTCAAGGCCTAACCGAGAATCAACTTCGAATGAGATGCTTTCCCTACACGTTGAAGGACCGAGCCAAGACTTGGTTCATGACCTTGCTCCCGAATTCGCTCACAAATTGGGAAGCCGTGTATGAAAAGTTTATGGGAAAGTACTACTCGCACCAAAAGACCACCGATCTCCGAACCCAAATTGCAAGCTTTAGTCAAAACGTCGGGGAGACCTTTCACGAGGCATGGGAGAGATTCAAGGGCTATCAACTTCAATGCCCCCATCATCACTTTTGCCTCGGGGTACTAAATCAATTCTTCTACGACGGCCTCCATCAAACCCTTCAATACATGGTCGATCATGCGGCCGGAGGAGACATTGGGAGCCACACGGCCGAGGAGATCTACGAGCTTTATGAAATGTTGAGTGAGAACTCCCAACGAAAGAGCGTGCGTAAGAAGACT